TTGACTTAGAATTTAAAATAAGAAATAACAACAAAAAAGACTGAGAGAATCCCATAAATTTTTAAACTGTGAAAAACCTAACAAAACAAAAATAGGAAGGAAAAAGGAAAAAGACAGCTAGCAAGAAACAAGGAGGATGTAGAATAAATAGACCAGTAAGAAAAATATTAAGATCTCAAAAAATAAGGGCTCAAAGGATTGACATCAATATACTAATAGAAATTCTGGTTAAAAATATATATAAAAGCAAAAATTTCAACTACATATTAATACATGAAAGGGCAAAATAAAACTAATAATTCTTCTAAAGAATGAATGCTCATTTATTAAAACTGGCTTAATTACCTCTATTAAACCTAATTGTTATAACTATTGCTTTGCTGTCATAGCTGTTCTTCCTGTTGTCTTTGTAAGAATCACCAAAGGCATTAAGAGTTGCGCAGTGGCTTTCATGGTGTTTTGCTTAATTGAAATCTAATTCACATGCCATAAAATTCACCATTTTAAAATGTATAATTCAATGGTTTTTTTTAGCATATTTCTAGAGGAATACAAACATCTCCCTGATCTACTTCCAGAACATTTTCATCACTCCAAAAAGATACTCCATACCCATATCCATTAGCAGTCACTCTCCATTCTCTCGTGCCCCCAGCTTTTGGAAATCACCAGTATACTTTTTGTTTCCATGGATTTACCTATTTGGGACATTTCATATAAATGAAATCATATAATCTGTAGCCTTTTTGTGCCTAGCTTCTTTCACTTAGCATGTTTTCAAGGTACAACCATGCTGTAGCATGTGTCATGCAGTACTTCATTACTTTTTATGGCAGAATAATATTCTATGAGGAGCCCACATTTTGTTTATGCATTGATTAGTTGATAGACATTTGAGTTATTTCTACTTTTTGGCTATTATGAGCAATGCTGATATGAGCATCTGTGTACACATTATGCTTTCAATTCTCTTGGGTTTACACCAAGGAGTGAAATTGCTTTCTTTTATCAATAATATTCACAAAGCTTTTCCAAAATTTTATACCAGATGCTGCTAAGGATGAAGAGAAATCAATACTCTCCCATGTGGCTCAGAACAACATAAACTGTGGTACAGACCTATTAAGCTGCAATTTCCTAACATAACTTAGATAATAAATACACACACACACACACACAGCTATTAAAAAGAATGCAAAAAGTTGAAAACCACATGATATCACTTATATGTGAGATATAAACCTAAAAGCAACAAACAAACAAGACAAACAGAGACTCATGGACGTGGACTGTCGGAGCCAGCCGACGAAGTAATTGAGGGTACCTAAAAGGGGGAGCATGGACTGAGGAAAAGAAAGAAGACAGAAAGAATTGCAGGAGGGATCACAGAATCAAGCTGTGTCTGTATCTGTGTCTGTGTCCCCGAGTTTATTTAAAACACACTACTTATAGCATCGCAATGAGAAAACAGCAGTCAAGACCCAAGGTCAGCCAAATTACTCATTCTACAAAACAATGAAGTTCTTACAACTCCCTTCTTGGAAAACACCGAGTGTTTAAAATAGTTTAGTGCCACTTATCTCAAAGCTCACCAAGTTAGCTCAGCTCCCAACATCGGACAACAGACTAGTGGTTACCAGAGGGTGGGGGGAGGGGAGAGGTAGATGGGATAAAAGGGGTCAAATATATGATGACAGAAAGAAATCTAACTATGGGTAGTGAACACAGAATGCAATATATATATACCATACTGTTGAATTGTACACTTGAAATTTACTGGATTTCATTAACCAATGTCATCATAATAAAAAATAAATTAATTTTTAAAAAATGCAAAAAATAAGAATAGACAGGAACTTCTTCAACTTGAAAAAGAACATTTACAAAAACTCTACAATTAACAGGTTACTTAATGATTAAAGATGACTGCTTTACTCCTATAATATGACAAAGATGTCTGCTCTCATATTTATATTCAACCTTGATTTGGAGGTTCTAGTCAATACTAGGAGGCAAAAATTTTAAAAATTAAAAGACAGCTAGCTAAGGAAAGGAGTAAAACTCTCTTCATTCCCTAATGACATGATTGTCTTATGTCTAAAACATGATGTAATCAACAAAAAAAGTCATCAGGAACATTGTAGGGCTTAATATATAAAAATCAATTGTGGGAGTAATGTCAAGGAGGATGGTAGAATAGGAAGCTCCAGGAATCTTACTTTACACTGGAGCACCAGTGAGCTGCCAGAACTATCTGAAGCAACTATTTTGGAACTCTGAAGTCTAGTCAAACACTTCATCTCTCAGGGGAGAACTTTATTAAGAGGTTGGTAAATTTCAGAGTCTTTTCATTAGCAGCTAAGCTACTTACACATCCGAGAAACTTCAAGCAGGAAAAACTGAAAGAGATCCACACTAGACACATTATAGTCAAATTATTAAAACTCAAAGACAAAGAGATAATTCTGAAAGCAAGATAGAAGTAACTAGTTACATACAAGACATCCTCCTTAAGATTTAACAGCTAATTTCTCAGAAGCCAGGAAGGCTAGGAGGCAGTGGGACAACATTGTTAAAGTCCTGAAGAAAAAGACTGTAAACCAAGAATTGTATATGCAGCAAAACCATCCTTCGAAAATTAAGAATTAAGACATTATCAGATTTCGAAAAAGCTGAGGGAGTTTATTACCAGTAGATCTGCTTTACAAGAAATGCTAAGAGGAGTTATTCACGGTGAAATGAGAGGACACTAGACAGCAACTCAAAGATAAAAAATAAAGAATACTAGTAAAATTAACTTCATAAAAGCCCGTTTTACTTTATTGTACTTTTTGTTTGGTTTGTAACTTCTCTCTTTTTCCTATATGATTTAAGAGGCAAATGAATAAAATAATTATTATTTATGTTAACAGACACACGAGATATAAAGATAGAATCTGTGACAATAACACTACAAAGGGAGAAGAACAGAAATATATATACATGTAGAATGTTTGTATGTTACTGAAATGAAGTTGGCGTTACTCAAACTAGACTGTCGTAATATTAATTGTAATTCTCAAAGTAGCCATTTGGAGATTTTTTAAGTTATTTAGTAAATAGCTAAAAAATATAAAATGAAAGAAGAGAATCTAAATGGTATATTACAAATAATCACCTAAGTACAAAAAAGAGTAGTAATAGAGGAATTGAGAAAAAAAAATTGTGACATACAGAAAATAGATAGCTAAATGGCAGAAGTCAATTCTTCTTTATCAGTAATAACATGAAATGTAAATGGATTAAACTCTTTTAAAAAAGGCATTGGCAAATTGAATAATAAAAAAAAGATCTCCCTATACACTATTAGAGACTCTCTTTAGATATAGGAACACAAAAAGGATGACAGCAAAAGGACAGAAAAAAATATTCCTGGCAAACAGTAACCAAAAGAGAATTGGAGTAGCTATATTACTGTTAGACAAAATACACTGCAAATGAAAAAATGGTTACAAGAGACAAAAAGCGTTGTTACATGTTGATAAAAAGGTTCAACAGGGCCAATAAAATATAATAACTGTAAACACACATGCTTCTATCTGCAAAGACCTGAAATATATAAAGTAGAAATTGACAGAATTGAAGGGAGAAACAGACAGTATTACAATGACAGTTGACTTCAATAACCCCACTCATAATAAATAAGAGGACCAGACAGATCAATAAGAAAATAGAGAATATGATTATGCTATAAATCAATTAGAACTAATGGACACATAAAGAACACTCCACTTAACAGCAGTATATACATTCTTTTGAAGTGCCCATGGAACATTCTCTGGGATATACCGTATGTTAAGCCACAAAGTAAGTCTCAATGAATTGGAAAAGATTGAAATCATATAAAGTTTCTTTTTTGATCACAATGAAATAAAACTAGTAACAGAAGGAAAACTAGAAAATTCAAAAATATGTGGAAGTTAAACATTTTAAACCAACAGATCAAAGAAGAAATAACAAGGGAAATTAAACAATACTTTTGAGAAAAAAGGAAAAAACAACAACACACCGAACCTTATATGAGATGCAGTGAAAGCAGCGCTAAGAGGAAAATTTACAGATGCAAATACATACATTAAAAACAAAGAATGACCTCAAATTAATGACTGTATACCTTAAGGAACTACAAAAAGATGACCTCAAATTAATAACTGTATACCTTAAGGAACTACAAAAAGACCAAGCAAACAAAGCTGGCAGAAGAAATAAAAAAATAAAGGCTAGAGAAGAGATTTTTTTTTTCCTCTCTTTAATTCCCCCACCCCACTTCCACCCCTGACCTATGGATGTTGCCATTTCCCCTTAAGAACCGGATCTCTGAAGGCGAGGCGTCTCCTCTCACATGCTCGTTGTCAGTGCCTGGTGCCCCTGGTGCACTTGCGGGGCCTGGCGTACCCAGGGTATGGTCCGTGGCTCCACCTGGGGCACGAACCGTAGAGATTTTTAAAATGGAGACTATAAGAACAATAAAGAAAAATGTACAAAACCAAAAGTTTGTTCTTTGTGAAGATCAACAAAATTGACAAATCTTTAGCTAGAATGAATAAGAAAGAGAAACCCCACATTACTAAAATCAGAAATGAAAGTAGGAAAATTACTACTATGGGAATAAAAAAGATTAAAGAGAATACTGTGAACAACTGTCTACCAACAAACTGGATGACCTAAATGAGATGGACAAACTTCTAGAAACACAGTCTAGCAAAACTGACTCAAGAAGAAATAGGAAATTTGAATAGACCTGTAGCTAGTAAGGAGATTGACTCAGTAATCAAAAATCTCCCAACAAAGACAAGGCAAGAACTAGATAGTATAATATTACAAAGCATTTTAAGAGGAATGACTATTAATCCTTAAACGCTCCTAAAAATGGAAGGGAATACTAACTCATTCTATGAGGCTAGCAATATTCCTTATAAATATAGATGCAAAAATCTTCAACAAAATACTAGCAAACGGAATCCAAGAACTTATAAAAAGGTTTATACACCATGATCCAATGGGATTTATCCCAAGAATGCAAAGATGGTTAAACATACAAAAAAAATCAATGTAATTCACCACATTAAGAGAAAGAGTAGAACTGCATGATCATCTCAATTGACGCAGGAAAAGCACTTGACAAAATTCGACATCCTGTAGTGATAAAAATCACTCAATAAACTAAGAATGCGAGGGAAATTCCTCAATTTCATAAAGGCCATATATATGACAAACCCACAGCTAACATGATATTTGATGGTGAAAAACTGAAAGCTTTCCTCCTAAAACTTGGGAACAAGACAAGGATGCCCACTTCTGCCACTTCTATTTAACACAGAAGTTCTAGACAGAGCAATTAGGCAAGAAAAAAAAATAAAAGGCATCCAAACTGGAAAGGAGAAAGTAAACTGATCTGTTTCAGATGATCTGATCTTGTATGTGGAAAACTAAAGAATCCACACCAAATAATTTGGTTTTGTATATTTTTCTCTCCTGTTTTTATATTCTCCCTCAAAATCTCTGCCGTAGCCTTTATTTTTTCCTTTCTTCTTCCAGCTTTGGTTGATTGGTCTTCTTTTGCTAGTTCTGTAAGGTATACAGTTAGGTAATTAATTTGAGATTTCTTTGTTTCTAATGTATGTGTTTACAGCTCTAACTTTTCTTCTTAGCACCACCTCTCGCAAATATATTCAATAAAGTCACAGAATAAGACAATTGACACCCTCAAATTCATTATATTTCTATACACTTAAATGAACAATACTAAAATAAATTTTTTTTTAAAAACCAACAATTTACAATAGCACTAAAAACAATAAAATACCTAGTAATAAATTTAACTGAAGAGGCAAAAGACTTGTACAATGAAAAGTACAAAACGTTGCTGAAGGAAATTAAAGAAGACAGATAAATGTAAACACGTCCTGTGTTCATGGATTGGAAGAATTAATATTGTTAATTATTGTTAACGATACTACTCAAAGTGATCTACAGATTCAATGCAACCCCTATCAAGTCTCAACAGTGTTATTTACAGAAATAGAAAAACATTTTTAAATTCGTAAGAATTCTCAAGGGACCACCAAAATAACGTTAAAAAAAAAAGAAAGGTGGAAGAATCACATTTCCTGACTTCAAAACTTAATACAAAGCTACATTATTCTAAACATACTGATCTCCCAAATTTCCCAAATTTCCGTAACATGCTTATATTTTATAAGTAAACAAAAATGAAAGTCTTTCATTTTGAAATAATTCCAAATTTAGTGCAAGAAATTCACATCCAAATTAATAAAGGGCTATTACCTAAATTAGCACTTCTCAGTATGCTGACCAGTGCTGGCATAAGCTGAAACTCGAATGTCCTTTGGGCTCCACAGTGGCTGCAGGCTGGGAGCTCAGTGACTTCTGATGTAGGACAAGTCAAAAAAAGTGGTTCTCCACTCCAGGAATACCTAGAATAAGAAAACAAAGAACACTGAGTCAGGACCACACAGAAATCACATCTAACATCTAACATCACGCTTCCCAAGCTTTGTTCTTTCTTGCAGGGTACCAGGAGTAAACCAGAGAAAAAGAAAATCCGTAAGTCCAAAACACTAGCCGCAGCCTGTAAAGCACGGCAAGATACCTGAAGTCTTACCCACGCTTGATTCAGTCTGGATGAAGGCACTAAAGCCAATGTGGAACTGAATCTAAATAAAAATGCCACAAAGCCCAGACTCAGCTCAACTGCAAATTAAATGAACTCCAATCTCTGTACTACCGGCATGCCCATCTAAGGACTTCGGTATCTACAATATTTTAAAAAGTTATTATATATAGAAAGAAGCAGAAAAATACAAAGAAAACAACAGACAAGATAATGGAATTATTAGACAAAGACTTTAAAGAAGGGGTCCCCAATCCCCAGGCCACAGACCAGTACCAGTTCATGGCCTCCTGTTAGGTACCAGGCCATATAGTAGGTGAGCGACCAAAGTTTCATCTGTATTTGCACGCATCACCGCCTCAGCTCCATCTCAGATCATTAGATTCTCATAGCAGCACCAGTCCCTAGTGCCAAAAAGGTTGGGAACTGCTACTTTAAAGTACCAATAATAAACATGTAAAGAATCTAGTGGAAAAGGTGAACATGCATAAACAGATGAGGAATTTAGCACAGAAATGGAAACCACGAGAGACTGAAACAGAAATGTGTATCAGAAATAAAGAATTTCATTCAATAAAAGTTAACAGCAGACTGGAAACAAACAACAAAAACTGAATTTAAGGAAAATAAGAAATATCCAAAATGAAACAAAAAGTGTAAACTAAAAAAGAAACAGCATTTAAAAACCATGAGATGACTTCAAGTAGTGTAACATATAATTAACTGGAGTCCTAGAAGAAAGAAGATAGAAAAAATATTTGAAGAGATAATAGCCAAAATTTCCCCAAAATTAGTGAAAAGACATCAAACCTACAAATCAAAAAAGCTCAGCAAATTCCAAGCAGGATAAATTAAAACACACAAAGTACATAAAGTACACATATATATTACAAATAGAACAATAAGAAATACAGCTAGTTTTTAATACAAAGGCAAGAAGACAATGGGACAAATCTTTTCAGAGCTGAAAGAAGAAAAGTAAAAAAATAAGATTTATATGCAATGAAAATGTCCATTAAAAGCAATATTAATACATTTTTAGACAGATATAACCTGAGAGATTTGTCTCCAATAAATCTATACTTCAAAAAAAATTAAAAGTAGTTCTTCAAGATGAAGGGAAATATCAGATGGAAGCTCACACCTGCATGAAGGAATGTGGAGCACCCTTTTATGAACAAACATAAAAGATCTTCTGATAATTACTTTCATTTAATATATACAGACTTCCTTAAAAACTATTATTTCAAGCAAAAATAATACTGTATTATGGGTATACAGCATATATAGAAGTGGATATATGAAAACAAGATCACAAAGGGCAGGAGAAGGTAAATGGGAATCTGGATGGCTCTTAGTTCATAAAGTAGTAAACTAGTATGTGAAGGTAGACTGCAATAGCTCAGAGAAGTATATTATAATCACAAAGCTAACACAAAAAAGGTAAGAGAGCCACTACGGAAAGTCACAAAAGGAGACAAAAACATAAACTAAGAATATTCAATTCAAAAAGAACCCTCTTATACTGCTGGTGGGATTGCAAATTGGTACAGCCACTATGGAAAACAGTATGGAGGTTCCTCAAAAAACTAAGAATTGGTCTACTATATGATCCAGCAATCTTTCTACTGGGTATTTACCCCAAAGACTTGAAAACCCATATCCAAAAAGATATTTGCACACCAATGTTCATAGCAGCATTATTCATCTACTAGATAGTACACTCCTTGAACTCAGAGCCCATGTCATTTTCATTTTTATGCATTGAAGGCACTCAAATTCCTATTAAGAGAGCTGCCATTATTGTAGGAATCTAAAAGTAGACCACAAAAATCACATGATATCATTTATATGTGTGATATAAACCTAAAAGCAACAAATGAGCTTGACAAACAAACAGAGACTCATGGACATAGACTATAGACTAGTGGTTACCAGAGGGGTAGGGGGTGTGGGAGGAGGGGGGAGGTAGACGGGGTAAAGGGTGTCAAATATGTGGGGTTAGGGGGAGGGTGAAGTGGGTAAAGGGGATCAAATATATGGTGGCTGAAGGAAACTGGACTTTGGGTGGTAAACACACAATAGAATATATAGATATCAAATGATAATGTACACCTGCAAATTATATAATTGCATTAACCAATGTTACCCCTTAAATTTAAAAAAAGAAAAAAAAAACGCAAAAAAAAAAAAGAATATTCAATTCACTGAAAAGATTAAACAAAAAAGAAAGGGGACAAAAAAATAAATAAATAAAAGCTGGAAAGGCCAATAGCAGAATAAAATTAACCCACTACCACCAATAATTACATTAAATGGACTAAAATGTCATGTAAAAGGCAAACAGATGGATTTTTAAAAAGGCAAGAGCCATATATTTAAGCCGTTTAAGAAAAACATTTTAGATATCACCTCATACTAGGCTATTATCAAAAAGACAAGAAGTAACAAGTGTTGGCAAGGATGTAGAAAAAAGGAAACACTTTTGCACTGTTGGTGGGATTGTAAATTGGTACAGCCACTAGGGAAAAGAGTATGGAAGTTCCTCAAAAAATCAAAAATAGATGTATCATATGATCCAGCAATTCCACTTCTTGGTATTTATCCAAAGATAATAAAAACATTAACTCAAAAAGATATATGCACCCCCATGTTCACTGCAATGTTATTTATACTAGCCAAGATATGAAAACATGTCCATCGATAGATGAATGGATAAATTGTGACACACACACACATATATATACAATGGAGTACACATAAAAAAGAATGCAATTGTGCCATTCGTAACAACATGGATTGACCTGGAGGGCATTATACTAAGTGAAATAAGTCAGAGAAAGACAAATGCCATATGATCTCTCTTATATGTGGAATCTAAACAAAACCAAACCAAAACCAAGCTCATAGATACAGAGAATAGACTGGTTGTTGCCAGAGGTGGGTGTTGGGAGGTAGGAGAAACAGGTGAACTTTCCTTTTAGTTTAAATAAGTGGAATAATTTATGTAAAAAAATACTTTGTATTTAAAAGAAGAGGTTGAAAGTAAAAGGGTGAAAAAAAATCAACTATACAAAGACTAAACAAAAGAAAGCTAATGTGGCTACATTAGCAGACAAAATATACTCCAAGGAAGGAGTATGATCAGAAATAAATAAGAACATGTCATAATTATACCAGGATTAATTCATCAGATAAATATAATACAAGTGCACATATCTTAAAACGGCACGAAATTCATAAGACATAAATCTGACAGAAGATAAAGACATATCCATAATCACAGTTGGAGGTTTTAACATTCTTCTCAGTAACTGATAAGCGAGAAGAAAAAGGTAATCAGTAATAAATAAAAACTGGCATTACAATTGGCTATTCATTTGGAAAAAAATGAACCTTGACTCTCATATATCATATACAAAAATTAACTGAAAATGGATCACAGACCTAAATATAAGAAATAAAACTAAAAACTTCTACAAGAGCACAGGAAAAATCCTGTTATCTTGGGTTAGGCAGAAATTTCTTAGGAAATAAAAAGTATGAACCATTGAAAACAAAACAAAACAAAACAACTGTTAAGTTGGACTTGGTCAAAATTTAAAACGTCTCTTCAAAAGGTTCTACTAATAAAATGAAAGGCAAGGCACGGATGAGTGTGACTTATTGGCAGCGGAGATCCACACCATCCCTTCACCCATACACCGGAGCCGCCTCCCGCAAGTCCTTCCCACACAGCCAGAAGGAGCGGCCCAGGTGGTGTAGAATGGCATTGGACTGGTACAGGCTGAGGTCTCCGTCCTGTAACTTGGGGAGCTGCCAGTAGAGACAGGAGGCCTTGAGTGAGCCCTACAGCCAGGTCTCCTTGGTCACCACCTCCTCCTTCCTGCTCTGGCCCTGGTCAGCCCCCCACATGAGCATGGCCTTTCTGTGCCCTGGGGGGCGGGAGACAGGAGTGTGGGGACACAGAGACCTCAGCCTCACAGAGCCCTGGGAGGGGGCCATGGGGATGAGGGTTCTTCCAATAAACTCATAGCACTCAAGTGGGAGTGCTATGAGTTTATTCCCAGCCTCGAGCAGGGAAGCAGATGATGGTATAGGGTGGTGTGGTTGTGGTGTAAGGCAGTGGCGGCAGCAGAGATCAGGACGCAAAGGATTTTAAATATGGACAGTTGATTTTGTCAACTGTACCTCAACAGAAGTGTTTAAACATGGATGAAAAGACACACTTCATTACATAAGATATACAAATGCCAAACAAGCTCATGAAAAGATGCTCAATATTAGTTATTAGGAAAATGAAAATTAAAACTACAGTGAAATATCACTACCATATACTAGAATGGTTAAAATTAAAAAGATTGACAATATTTTTAAAACCACCACCAGGATAAGTCTCTCATGGTCAATCGCTCTCTACTCAATGAACTTTAATATTTGTAGATTTAGTTCTTATTTGGGGTAAATTTCCTATTTCATGTTTGCATATTATTTTTGATTCACTTGTTGGGTTCTCTATTTTGGACACCAATTATCCTCATTGTAATTATTTTTATCAGTCCTCCATAGATATCATTTTCTGGTTGCTTGTCTTCTTTTTCTGCACTGACTAGATTATTTGAAGTCTTTCTCTACATCAGTACTTTGATTTTTAGTCAAGTCTACTAAGTTTCTTACATGTTCTAGGTTTATTAGATACATCATATTGTGTGGCTTAACATTTCAATTTCCTTTGGCATCTCATACTTTATTTTCTCACCTTTGAGCTCTTGATTCTTCTGTATTTTGAAAAATCTGCTGGGA